GCTGATGCCACAACTGTTGAACAGATAATTGGTCATCCGATTGTCTCTGATACGTTGTAACTTTGTTACGGATGGAGCTTCTCGCTGACGATTTGAGCGAAACGTCTGGGAATGTGGGGAAGTTAATGGGTCGATGCTGGATATCATCATGACTACTATGAGAGAGGATTCAGGACTAGGTACATTGCACAAGGTCTCTATCGCTATCAACAAGTTGCGAAAACGAGGTAAAATCAACACTACAGATAAAGGAGACTGACTAAATAGATTCATGCCTTCTTGGTCTCATATCTTCCATCTAGTTTTATATGCTTATTGTTTTTCATTAAGTTTACATTTTACTTGCCAATAAAATCACCTTGTATACACGACCTAATCTAGTTGCAGAAATGCATTGTTACTTAGTGTGTTATTGTGAATTAGGTTTTTCATTCATATTGATTTGTTAGCGTAACAAATATCTTCATTTGAACACTTCCTTTTGGGTCTCTATCCAACATTATCTCATATATTTTATGCACTTTTAGAAGATGCTGAGCTTCAATCCGAAAAAAAGGATTACTGCTCATGGTGCCTTAACATTCCCTTACTTTCATCCTAGACCTAACACATTCCCGTGCCTCACATTCCAAGGAAAAAGTATTATTAGCTCTCAGAAACGAAGTGACACCTTTTCTCAACACGCTCCATATTCGTTGAATCAGGAATCCCATTTGGGTAAGATTTTGTGAAATAATATTTAATTTTGCCTTTCGAACATTGTTTTTGCTTTATGAATTTCAATGGACATTTACTATTCATAATTACTATGTTTTGTTTTCTCTAAGATGCTCTCTCAACTCATCGAACAAGGCACTCCATCGCCACTTACTATCCTGATCCAACTTGCTCGAATGTTCGTTCCTTAGCATCAGCTAATACTACTGTGCAGCCAACTTTGTCACCTACCAGCGTCGTTAACCAAAAAACGTTAGTGTGCCAAAAAAAAGATGTTCCTGAGTCACCTGCTTCATATAACGAGCAAAGTTTATCTATCTCCAGCCTTTCAAAAAATCACTCGCAAAGACTATCCAATAATCTTTCATCAAAACCAACTTTAGTGCGACAGCATGTAGTGAGCGGTCGTCTAAGCAATGCTGTTTCCCATCCGGAGGTCACTTTGAAAACCACTGGGCCTACAACACGCCAGCAAGCTAGAGCTGCGGCTGCTGCATTACAGCAGCCTCTTCGTCAGAGACGCTACACAACACAGGCTACTTTAGGAACAAGTGAGGAAGTAGTTGATCGGGGTAACCAACTGACTTTGCTCAATTCCAAGGCATTATTAGAGGCTAGCTTGCACCTCGCCTCAACTCCTGTAGAGCCGCAATCTTCTCTGTCAAATATTTCAAAACAATTGGATTCTTCGGGTCAAGAATCCGCTTCTCGTCGTCGCCCCAGGAAAACTGCTAGGAGGCGTACAATAATTGGTGTTGAAAAGGTATTTCCGAGTCTGTCAGTCATTTTATGAATTACCTGTATTATTTCCGTCCTTCCATTGTTGCACTTTTTTCTCCGTATTTGCACGAATGTCTCAATCATCAAATCGAATTATTTCACTAATCACGGCGAGATGCCTGAATATGATAATTTACTGGTATCTTTCTACGTATTGACAGAATGAGTTTTGTTTTTATATGAATTCTGCACGGCTTCTAATCTGACATGAGGCACCTAAATGCTTCTCTGGTATCATTTACAAAACTTAACATTATTAACTAATGCCAGCAATAACCGATCGATAAGATCAATTGAAGTTGTACTTAGGCCGGAATTGAGAATTCCTTACAGTTTTTAGCTTGTGTTTATCTACTTTTTATTTACAATCTTTTTTTTATGCCTAGCGTTATAGATGTGTAGAGAATAGTAACTTATTTTTCTTATTAGTTATTGGTCTGCATTTTATCGAAGTTAGTCCCTATCAAATGCCATATTGGCTCACTTATATCCTACCTATTATATTGCGACATTTTTTTATATAATTTTTCCACTTAGAACAAGACTGTTCCTCTCACAATGGGCAAGGTTCCCTCGGCTCGA